GAATCACTGTGTCTTCTTATCCTAACATTGTATCTCAGCACATAAGAAATCATTTCTGATGCAACAGATTCTTGTGATAGAAGGTTAAAAACCAGAGAACTGTTCTGCTGTCTTTCTGCAATTCATATTCTTTGCCATAAAATGGTAATTTGCATTGACAGTGCTTCAGAAATAAACCTTTCTAGTTTTGTTTTCTATGTAGTCCAAGGACACAGCAGTATTTGAGGGTGCCTGATTAGTACTTTAAAGGAATCCTTCCATGCTGAAAACCAAGTTCTTTAGCTACCATAAGTACAACTGCATGAGAGGAATAACTGATAAGCTAACAAAGCTAACAAAGTATAACAGTGCCTAAAATAGCCTTTTTGTAGGCAAGAATGTAGCATTCAAAATGTGGCACTGCAAGTCATTTCAGTGCTAAAAACATAAATTGTATTTCTGGGTTTTATTAGTAGCAAGACCTTTAGATTTCAGCAAGACTACATTTTCAGGTCAGAGAGGGATCACAGTCAAATTTGTCCCGTAAGTTGTACATCTGGGAGAGAAGCTAAGAAGTGCTTCTTTAGCAAGTGACTTTGTATTAAAATATCTATAATTTGAAGGTACTCGCAGGCTTTGTTTTGAGATTTTTAGATAAGCCCAGAAGTGGTAAGCAGTGAAAGTATGATGTTCATGATTCATGAATGTGTGATAAATACAGTTTGTCACATATATCTTTTACATAGACTTTATCCCCAAGTATGTTGTGGATATATTTAAGTGTATATTATGTTTAGGAAGTGTGGAAGTATGTGTGTTACTTAGGATTCTCCTGGGTGAAAGTTGCTTATGTAAGTCACTGTTTTCCTTGCTGATTTTAAAGCAGTAAATCCTTCCATTATTTCCTGGCTATCCAGACCTTATGACACAGTATGTCCTGTGCTGTTGTATGTGTGAGAAGGCTTTTTATGGGGAGCAATCAGGCTGGACCCCAATCTCCAATGCAGTGGTTTTTTTTCTAATTAAATTGTCAGTGGAAGGAATATCCGGAACAGCAGTTTTCATTTTCAATCGAGGAAAAAACATTATGAGTCTTTGTCATTTGATTACAAGTTACTTAACCTTTAAATTGCTACAGATGTAAAGATAGCTCTGAGTTTCCAATGTAATCGCCTCCAAGTTAAAATCAGGAAAATCTTTGTGTAATGAAACCCATATGTCATAGTGAAAGGATGCAAAGCACTGGCAGAGTGGGCTGCTCTAGCAGGAGATTCTGCACCCAATCTTGTTAACCAGGACTGCTTTTGGTAATCCCTCATCTCCTCACTTGTAGGAAATCAATCTGTACCACTGAATCTTTTCAACCAGCAACTATAAAATTTACTGCGGAGAGGCAGCTTGGGGACAGTTGTAGTAAAAACAGAGCCTGAGGCAACAAGGCTAAATGTGGGATTGAGGGATTGAAGTTCTAAAGAGGAGATTATATTAAACCTTATTCTGCTCCCCTATCAAGTGGAAATATCTCTTCCTCCTTTCAGCCCCAGCCTTTCCTATCCAGTACCTGTTCTTGAGATCTGCTTGGCAGATCTTTGCCAGGCAGCAAACTTAATTCCTGCAGTACAGCATTCTCTGTTAATTATAATAGCCTGATACATTTCTCAATACATTTCTCTGATGGAGTTTATTCAAGCACTACTTCCAGAGCAACCACTGCTGTTATCAACCTAAACTGTTTTTTTCTGTGGAGTTCAGTGTCTTCCTTCTCCCTAGTAGGTGGGGTTAATTTGTATCCAAGCTATTGCAATGGTATCCATTGTTGATTTTTCTATTGTCATAGATGCACAGCATAGGCAAGGTTGTAAATCGTGACTTGTCATGCAGATTCATGTTTCTGTTTTGTGCTGCGCAGCCTCTGTAGTATGTGTCTGCTGCTACAATGAAACCTGTGCTCAAACCCTCTCTTCCCTTGAAGTCCATGCTTTAAACTACTACTGTAAAGGAAAAAATCCCTGAGGTTTTCACTATAGTTTTGTTCAACCTTTTAATTAAAAAATCCACCTCTATCTACTATTCAAATGGCTTCTGCTGGTCCCTTGGGTAGTTGCTTAAAGCTGATTTTACCATCTCTCTTAGCCTGCAATCGTATTTGGAATGTGGGTGATGGTTTCTTCATTCACAAGCTCTTCCCTCACTCCAGCAAGCTCCATAAGACCCCAATGGAAATTATATTCCTATTATTAGGAATTCATTTCTCAGAAGCAATACTGAGCAGAGAAGTCAGTTTAATATTAGAGCCTTTTACTGTGCAAAATCCATCAAATCATATTCCAGCACAGATTAAAAAGAAACAAAGGTGAAGGAATAGCCAAGATGTTTGAAGGCAATACCATGTAGTAGAAATTTGGCCTGTGTTTATCAGGAATACATGGAACTGTGGTTCTTGGGCAAATAAGGGAAGCAGCTGAAGCAGGGAAGAGGAGATTGTTAATGCTTGTGGAAACTTGCCCTTAGTTTGGCTGTGGTTTTTCTGTCAAATGAGGATGTTACTTCCTGGCCATTTTCATACATATACAAAGATAAAAGGTCCTTTTTCTTTCTCAGTTTGGCATCATATCTTTAAAAATAAAGCCCTGCTGCAAGCCTGAGTCTGTGAGGAGATGAGGAATACAGAATAGCAGAAGGCTGTCTCCTGCTCCTAATGGGATTTTGTAGCAGCATGTGCGAGTTTGTTTCAGAAGTCAGAAATGAACAGATGTTGGTATAAATTACCTCTGTGTCTGATGTCTTGCAAATTAAAAGCGCGGTTGGCATCACTAAACAATTTCACCAGGTTGGGGGGGGAAGCGGGTGGTGATTATTGTAGCAGGTCGGTAAGAATCTTTAAGCTGCAGCAGAACAGGATAGCAAGGATAAAGGAATGAAGAATAAAATGAGAGGTCTGTGAATTAATCAGAAATGTTAACATCTCCGATGACAAGTGAACAGGCAGGCACGTGCTCTGGAGCAACCTCCAACCCACAGTAATTTCACTCAGCACACAGAAGGAGTCTGTGCTCTCTGCCTGATTTATAGGGTGCAGCCCTCTTTGGGGGAACAGAATTGTCGTGCATTCGTATATCTCCTCTATGGGACTTGCGCTCTGGAAAACTTTCCACTTTATCAACTGCAGTTCAGCTTACGTACTTTTCTTGTTAAGAGTGTTTTAAAACCCTGCACTGTTGTTGGAGCAAGGCAGGGAGGTGTCAGAGAACTAAGAATCTATTCCAAACTGAAATTTTAAAAATCTTTCCATTTTATTTAATCATGTTCTTTGGGCATAACAACTTAGTTCCTGACAAAATACCAATCCTCTCTGTTCTGTAGCACCTTCTACCCCTGTGTCACTTCAGCAGCACTTAAGACATACAGGTTATCTTGGGGTTGGGGAGGTAGAGGTACAAATGAATACTTCTGTGGTAGCTCATGCTGTGCATCAGAAGCAGGATCCCAGGTGATGTAACTCACAGCTGGAGGCATGAGGCAAGAAAACAGTGCAATGATCTGCTTGAACCTGCAGCCAGTCTGAAGCATGTTCCACTCAGCACAGTGGACTTTGCAGCCTGCAAGTATCAGTATGTAACAGGTTATATACTCTTAAATACAATTAATTGTTTTACAGGAATTTTGCTGATGACAACACCTTGTGATAAAATTTTATGTAAACAAGTTAGAATGTAGTAATTTAAAGAAGAGGCCTTAAGACACAAATTCTAACTTTTATGTAAACAATAACAAAATGTCTTTATCCGAGTGCACACTGAGTATTGTAAGCTGAACATTTTAATTACATTTTAGTTCTGTTCTGACAGATAATCAATAATGTCAAAAGAAAACCCAACATCAACAAACCCACCTCCAGTTTTTATGCTAATCTTAATTTCTGATGTTTGTCTCAGTAGAGAAGTCAGGAGTTGAATGGATAAAACAGAAAATTAATTCCTTTCTCCTTGTAGACTGTCTTTGAGACTAGGTGTAGGAAACATGCATGCTTTCAGCATTCCTGTGAATAAAACCCTCCATGTTTTGATGCCTGCCTGTCCAGCACAAAGCTTACACCTCTATTGAAAAGAAATGGAGGGGCACCAGTGGGAAGATTGTCTTTCTCCAGGCCTCAGTTGCTAATGGTGCTGTCTTTGATGCCTTGTATTGATATTGCAAGACAAGAACAGTATAAGACTGCTCTGCCAGCTTCTGAGCTTGTGGGTTCTCAAGTCAGAAATGTCTCATGCAGAAAAGTGGCTGTGTAAACCCTGCTGTAATACAGCTACCAGAGATTGATGGTGCTGAGTGTGGGAGAGAGACATATAAGCCTTGCCTTGCTGTATTAAACATGGAAGGACTGACAACGCAGAGAGAAAGAGAAGACCAAAGCTCTATAAACTTTACTTTATTACCCTATCCATAGATGAAGTACATTGAAGGAATATAAACCTCATTATATTACAGCATCCAGGGGCTGACACTGCTGAGAGAGAGAAAATGCTGCCTAATTTCTGTTGAAGATCACATCATCCAGGGACCAATAATCCTGAAACAGAGAAAGAGAGAGTTCCATAATCTCTGACAGATTATAACATACAGGAACAATTGTGCTGAGATAGAGTGATGGAGATTTGGATTTCACCATTCAGAGATGGATAGTACAGGGAAAAGGAGGTGCTGCAAGAGCATTATGCAGTAGGAATAGAAAGCATAGATTGTATGTAATGAGACAGCCTGTGGGAATTATTGCTGAGTTTAGAAGATTCCAGACCCTGCCTGCATTTGTAGCATGCCAGGAATTCAAGCTGAAATGCGGTTTTATTTATTTTCCACTTTAATAGATAAATAAAATAATTCTTAGTTTTGGTACAAGCACAATCTAAATTAATTTCTTGTCCTATGGTTAGATTATGTTATACAATTATACAGATTATATAATTGTTTGAGTTTCTTGGTTTTTTAAAAGATACTGATTGCTTTTTCCTCCCTTGTGATTTCAGCCAGAGAAATGACTCGAGGGAAATTCCTGAACATCCTGGAGAAACCTAAAAAGTAGCTGCATCTAACATTTGGATGAAAATACCCCAACTAAGTCATTTCATGTACTGCAGATCCAGATGAAGCCCAGAAAGTCTAAGAAGAACAAAGCTCTTGCCCTACACCTTCAGAAGCAAGCATCTCGTTTTGCTTCCACAGCTCATCTCTTTATGGGGGAAATGTACAATATGCACAGGTCACAGGGACTGCAGTTGGTTGCATTGGAATTCAGACTTCATCTGCCCATCCAGACTTCATCTGGATGTCCAGCAGGAGGACTTGGCCCTGACATGCTGTGACACAGTTACCTGTTTCAGTCAGCAGTTCAAAGTGAACAGCCAGTGTCCTTACTCAGCTGCTCTCAGGGGCAGCCTGTTTGAGATACACAGCAGATCTGACCCTGGCCAGTGTCCACCATGAGGCCTTGACCCTTTGGTGTGTCTTTGGTCTGAGATTGATTTCCTGTGTGCGACGCCTGTGCTGAAGGATCTGAGCGTAGTTTGGGGTGTGGATTGACCAGGAGCACTGGCTCCGCAGGAGCACATGCTTTTAGTGTAGAAGCCAAGTGCATTCTCTGCATTAGATTCCAGTTGCCCACTGCCTTCGGAGAAGCACATCTGGTACCCCGAGGAAGAGCTCCAGACCTCTGGTGTGCCTGGAGCTTCATTTCACCTCTGAGTGGTTCTCTAAGTGAAATTGAAACTAACAGACCACGGGGAGTGAGAAGTGTTACTGTGTCTCCAGGAAGGTATCCTCACTGAAGCTTTGGCCAGTACACAAAGAAACAGCTTTGTCAGTCCTCTGCAATTCTTTGCTTCTTGCAGGGCTAGAGACTGGAAAGAGTTCTAAAGTTGCAAGATGGTAATGTTTTAAGTTATCACTCCAAGAAGTGGCATCAGGACTGTTAGCCACATTGTGAAAAAGGTCGGTCTATACAAGATCTCAACGTTTCTGAAAATAATGTTTTGTGGTATTTTTAATTGCTTAACAACCAGCAACTCAAAATTTTCTTCTCCTACAAACCCAGAATTTTTAAGATAGAAACTTCTGTGAGCTGCTCCCTTTCAGAACACTGTGATTACAGTTTAATGCCTTTTTCTTCTGTTCATGCACTTCTACATATTCAGCCCTTGGAAGATCTATAGAGCATGTTCAGACTTTTTGTTTTATTTAAGAGAAATTGTGTTTTCATTTCATCCTCTTTCCTTTTCCTAGAAAAAAAACATTTTAAGCATTAGTAAATATGTTCTTTTTTAGGATACAACATAATGTTGAAACATAACATGACATAATGTTATTTTTACCATGCAGACTTTTCTAAATGTGTCATTTCTCAGGCTGTAGTCACATATGGGAGGAGAAATTATTTGGAAATATTACATGTAACAGGCTGTCCTTACAGCACTGCATTTTTTTGGCTTTGCAGAGAGGGGAGACTCTTTTTGGGTGTGCAATAAAGAGGGAGAGATTTTTTTGATAAAATAGACTTCTGAGTTTTACTGAATTGCTGGTGACCCTTTGGTTTGCAGTCTGTGGTTTTTGGTTAATGTCCATCAGAACTAGGCTTGTTTTGAACAGCTCTGGTTAACTAAGTTAAGGTAGTTAAATTCTACATCCTGGAAAGACACTGCACAAATTTAGAAATATCAGGAGCCTGATTTAAGACTTACAGAGTTATTTCTGTCCTTCACAGTTTATGCAGGGCTGAGCTCAACAGGAACTCCATCCCTTGAGAACATGAGAATTAAAACAGATGAATGAAAAGAGAAGCTGAAAGTGGTAGTTCAGGAACAGAAAAAAAACCCTATGGTGCAAACTGATGTTGATGTAGCTTTAAGCACTGAATTATAGATTTGGAATGCAAATTAAGGTTTGTATACTATATATGTAATATATGTACACATATATGACATAATGGGATACTTCATCTGTATCATCAGTATTTTATAGAGGTTTCTTGGTCCAACGCATTAAGGAATTGAGATCTGAAAGGAGGATAAAGGAAAATATATGAAAGCCTGTCCTGGAAGTATATGTGTATTTTCTGATATGTGCAGTAAGAAATTTCAAACTCTGGGTGGTTTTTAGTAACATACATATGTTTAAAAAAAAAACCAACAAGATGAAAAAATCTCCTTTTGTTATACACAGTAATCAACTTCTCTAGGGCTGCCATTAACATATGCTTTAGAATTGTGATATTTTTTGATTTTGTACTTATCATCTGTAAAGGTGAGTCAATGATGTTATTTTTTATTGACAATATTGATGTGTATTTTTTGTGTGTTAGCCAGAGAAGTTTTTTCTGTCTGTTATTGCTTTTTGGTTTAATAATATGCAAATGCAAATCTCAGAGGTTTGTTTGGGTTTCCAAAATAGCCCTCTGAGATGCAAAAGCTTTTCCTTGGCCACTTAGGCAATAGTATTCCTCAGGCTCTTCTTATCTGCATGACACCACCTCAGGGTTTGGCCTGTGGATGTTCCATTCCCATCAGTAAATAAATATTTGTCAATATACAAATGCTACTAAGGGGTTTTGTACCCTTTTGAACCCAATTTTTTCCTTCAGTGCTATCCTTCCTGACATCCATGCAGTTATCTGTCTGTACAAGAAAATCTGAGTGACTTTTTGTTACTGATGGGAATGAAGAGTGTAAGAAAATCAAGATTTGGTAATATTAATCAAGCTGATGCATTGTTTTATAAAATGTTTTCATGTATTGGTATATTAGATGTTACTCTGAGTTACTTGGAAATCAACTCAATATTTATTTGGTTCCTTTTAAATGCCAGTGCTACACACATTCAGTTATAAAGGCTGTTCACTGTGGTCTTGGATTATCAAATGCTTTGCTATCTAATCCAACTGAGAAGAAATTTTTGTTTGTTATGTTAATCATTATGAAAATAAAAGTCTGTGTGCACTGGCAATTGAATAACGTGATATTCCATTAAACTCTGTGTTTTGCCATTACAAAATCAACAATTTTATAACAGTCCTGTAACTCACAGTTCTCAACTTTGATTAATATTTCCCTCAAAAAGATACCTAGGAATGACAGATTAGTGAAAATTGCTTGGAGATAACATTTGAACCTTATTCTGGTTTTACTGATTTTTATGTTACGTAAAAATGCAAGGTGCTGTTACAAGTCAAATCACAAGCCAGTCTTATCTGTAATCTTCTCTTTGCTTATAAGCAGTTGTAGAAGGATAGGGAAGGATATAAACAAAAGGCTTACACAGTGATTTTGTATTAGGGTAACTTACACAGTCTCCAGCAATCTGTTTTAGTTGAATCTGGTCCACAGTAGACCCTACCCTCCATAAATTTGTCTTAGTCCTAATTTTTCTGTACTTCTGACCTGAAAAATGCCCCAGGATAGTGAGTTCCATAATTCAGTTATACAAAGAAAGGTTAAGAATTAAAAAAAAAAAAAAAAAGCCAAACAAAAAAAGCTTGGGGGGGGGGAAAGTTGTTCTAAATCTGCTGATAATTCCATTTTGAAACTTTCACTTATTTTATTGTTGGCAACAGTTGTTTGGATTTTTTCTTCCTCTCTGTCTGTGCACTACTCATGATTTTTCAGGTTCTACTATGGTTTTTTTATGTGGTTATGTTCACTTTCCTTGTGTTCACAATGTTCAATGGTTTGTCTTCTACTGCAGCCTGAGCTGGCATAATCAATGTTGCAGAGTAGTCGTAGTGCAAGTATACTGTGAAGTGTGTATGGCCTAATTGCAGCTCATACTTTGTTACTCTGCTGTTTTCTTTCACAGCATCTGGGCCTAAATCTTGTTTTGAGTATCTCTAAGAACAGGATCATCAGCCAGATTTGCAGCTGATCTCATCCATGTCACCTGCAGTAACTAGTGCAGGGCAAACAATGATTTTTGCAAATCACAGTGACAGTGATGCCAGCCATTCCGTGCTGATGAATTGACACCTGGCAATTCCATCATCAGCCTATGCAGCATGTGAAAAAGGTACATTTCATCATTGTCACATGGCCTGAAATCCCGCCCTCCCAAAAATTCAGTAACTTCTCATAAACATTTCTATAGTACTTCTAAACTAATGTAAATATTTAGATATATACAATCCAAAGAAGAAGACAGCTTGCAAATTACAGTTGCAGAAAGTCCACAGCACTTCATACACTCCCCTAGAACCAGCATCATTCAAAACCACCAGATAAAATCTCTGGTGTAGCACTTCAAGCATCTTCACGTTTGAGTTTCTCCTAAGTAAGAACGTCAGGCAACAAGGGTACTTGTAGGGGCAAAATGTGTCATTTCTTTGAGTGAGCTATCTGAACATGGCATACAAACTTCACAGAGCATGAAAATAATCTTCACTTCTTAGTGTTGTATCCCCACCTTCATATACCAGTCTGTACTGACACTTTTGAAAAAGTCATTAAATGATCTTTAGTAGAAGGTGATAATTCATTGAAAGACAACTTTCTAGCAGGTTGTCTCTGTATCTTCAGCCCAGGAAAATTATAGTTGGACAGAAACTTCTCATGGAACAACAACTCTGAGCTGGATAAAAATGATTCGAAGAACAAATGCAAATGTTGTAAACACATTTCTGTTATAGCAAAACCTTCCCACTACAGAAATACCAAAACCTACACCCACTCCTACATGTACATCGCAGCACATACATCAGCCAGGGTGCCCGATACATCCAAAAGGTATTGCATGTATGATGCCAAAATACATTGCCCTGATAAGAGATGCACCTTGGTATTTTTAGAAGGCAAGAAAGGAGAAAAAAAGTCTAAAAAGACAGACAAAGAAAATCAAAGATAAGGAAATGAAAAAGACTGGATCCTTTTGATTTTACATAATGCTGTGCTTCTTGGAATCAAACTTATTCTAGAAACACAATATTTCTGCAAGCCAATCTTTACACCAGTGCTTTGAGTTTCTCTCAGGAGGATGTGAAATGCAATATTCTGAACTGAAATCATTATGGCCAATCATAAAGTCCACATAAAGATAGTTAAAAGGTTAAGTGGCCAGAGATCCAGACTGATCCAGTTGTAGAATGTAATCCACATTCTGCATAGAATATGTGCAACAATGCCAGTTTTATTTAGATTTTGCTAGATTTTCAGCATGGCAGCATCCCTTTGCATCTTGACTTCATCATCCACTGAAAGTGCTGGTTTTTAGACTTGACCTTTTCCGACGTGTCTCTTTGAGGAGGATGACTGACTCCAGGCAGCTGATGAGGGTACAGAATAGGCGTTTTCTTGTTGGGTTTGTGTGGTTGACCTCTGCCCTGCCTGCTGATTCCTATAATACAGATCAGTGACCAGTGAAGCCAGAATGCTCCCTGCCTGTCTCTGTTATAGACACCTCAGTAAGGAACAGAAAAGAGGAAGAGGGCTGAGCTTGAAAGCCTTTACTTAATTGCTAGTAGAAAAAATGGGTAATAAGAATGACCTTGCACCTTATTTATTGACCAGATCTCTGTGAGGACAAAGTACTTGACTTGGTTCTGTATCACTTGAAAGGCTGGCTCTGTGGCCCATAGCTGATGAGTAGGCGTAATAATATAGGGTAATTAAATTTTGCACTTGCAGACACTTATATGTCAAGGAGGATTTCCCTCTCAAAAATAACAGGCTCTGTTTTCTTCATGATCACAGAATTTTAAGCTTAATTTGAAGCAGCAGAAATTTGCCATCTTCCTCTTACCAGGATAGCCCAAAATGCAGGAGGCTATGTATGAAAAGGCAGGAAGAGAGCTCAGCAGCTACATGAGAATGAGGGATGAGATCAGCAGAGCAACCCAAATGGGCACAGGTGCTCAGGCTGCCTGGTTTTGTGGCCTTCAGTTTGTTTCCTCTCTCTATAGTACAGTAACTTTTTAGTTGTAATTAATTTATTTATATATATATATACACACATATATATGTATATTGATTATTCCAAATTGCCTTTCAGAGAAAGCAATGGCACCTGTCATTCTCTTGTACTCTGCATGGATCAGCTTGTCACCCTGTCTTAGGTTTTCCCTCAGCTTTGCACACTGAAGCAAATAGCACATGTGAAAACAGGACAAATTGCTTCTGCTGAGGCTCGTTGTGGGAGGAATCAGGGTGAGCCCTGATTTGCAGAAGGGATCAGTTTGTAATCAGCTGCACAGGAGGCAAGTGGATCTGCAGGCTGTGAGTATCCTTACAGGATCAGCTGTGATATTTTGCTCAATATGAGCTTGTAATCAAAAATTAGGGAAAATATTTTTGCTGAAAAATATTTGGATGATGACAGTTTCTGAAGAAAGTGTCAGGTTGAAAATTAGAGGGACTATATGTCTTTCTTTGCCTTGTTTTAATAAGAGCACTTGAGCTGGGGTCTCCTACCCACCTCCCAACCCATGCTTTTAATATTTTTGTGAGAATCTTTAGAAACCTGTCCTGTGAGACCCAGCACATGTTCCTTTACATGAGAGCTGAGAGGATCTTGTTTACTCACATGCTCCTTCCCAGCCTGAGCTCTGGGGCACACCCATGGCACGGCCCCCCTCACTGGAGAAGAGCCCATGCCAGCTGCAGCATTTCTCTAAGGGCAGCTCACAGCAAGCCTCAGTGCAGACTTGAGGCAAATCTTTGCAGTCAGACGTTTGGGTTTGATGGTGCATTTCTGCATGGAAGTGCAATGGTACCTGTGTACCCCTGGAGATGACAGGATAAGACAGTCTAGAGAGTTGAATTCAGGTTTCCACATGCAGGTGGACATTGGAGATGGAGAAAGGATGGAGAAGGCCCATGTCCCCAACACCGTGGCTGATGCCCAGCTGCTGGCTCCGTGCCACGTAGCTGGGCCCCAGCGCCTGGATGCTTTTCTGGCTGTTTCTCGCCGTCCCCCTTCTCCTGCCGGTGCCCGGGAGGCGGCTCCCTGTCCGTCTGCGGCGCAGGGAGCGCTGGCTGCCGCTCGTTAGAAGAATTCCCCCAAGTCAGACCTATGGTACGAGCCGTGTGAAGCGGAAGACAATTAGGGGCTTATTAGTGTCCTGGGGAGACGTGTAACTTGTGTTGCTGGGACTTACCAAAACAGCGAGAGTCTTACCGGCAAGCTCCAGCCGAGAAAAGACTGAGGGATTGTCTCACCTAATTACGGGGAATGGGCCTCTTTGTGTTTGTGATTCGGTACGGTTGTCCGATCGCTTTTCTCTGGCTGCTGGCTCAGGCCGAGCTGGAAGTGTGCTAATTAGAAGAGAAATGGACGTAGTGATCCTGTCAGCTCTCGTTACCGGCGTGCACAAAGCCAAATATTATTCTGAGGCAGTGTTTTGTGAGTGTCCCTCTTCCAGCTCTCATTAAGGGCAAGGTTGGTGGACGGAGAGGGGACTTGACCACATGGGTTGGCTAATGGAGCACAGTTACCGTTACTGTGCTAATTAACGGGCTCAGGAGGCAAATGTTTCTCCAACCAGCAGTCCCAGCAGCTGCACCTGGTGCTTCCAAAACCCAACCATCTCGCTGGGCAAGCCAGGCAAACACTGCGTGTATGAGCAGAAAGGGGGTTATGTATGATGCATCCATCAGCCATCCAAAAGTGCAGAACCAGTAAAATGGCCATCAGAGAGATGGAAACAACGTAGTGCTGCAATAGCAGCAGGTGAAGCTCCAGCAGTCCCCTCTCCCCAGTTACCCTTCACATACAGCACAATGTACCAGCTTCTGCCCCTGGAAAGTGAGTAGCAAGGAGAGAGCTGAGCAATTGCCAAGACCTCCAGGTGCCATCAAGAAAGAAATCTCCTGAGCGTTGTTACAATCATCACAGCTCTCAATATGGCCAGGAAGGGGAAAGTTGGAATGATGAGAGGTGACATGGAGGTGAATCAGACTATCCCTCTCTGTGTTGAAGATGGGATGCTTCTGATCTGAGGTGAAAAGCAAGATGTACATACATATCAGGATGATTGTTCTGCTCCAAAAGCCATTTAGGCAACATTGAAACGATGCACAGAAGTTAATGTAGGAGAACATGATGACCAAAGGAGCCATAGAAAATGCTAAAACCAAAATGTGTGCTTTTGTGTCATTAGCCTGAAACTAATACAGTGAGAGTAAAGAGAGTGACAGCAGATAGTGACTTACTACAGAGGGAGTAGAGAGAGACAGAGGACAAAGCAGGAGCCAGAGCAGGTCTGTAGTGTCACAGCTGCTGAGATGGCCTCAGAAGGGAAGGGAAGAAAAGAGTGTGCTGAGGAGGCTCAACGAAAGTAAGTAGTTTTATTAACTCATCACACAGACTTTCATTTTAAATCATAGGTGTTTTGTAAACAGTAACTTGCACAAGTTAATTGCTGGTTGATGTTTCCTAAGTTATGGGCATGTATTAGTGATTAAGTCTGATTGGGATGTTATGATCGTTCTAAAGGTCCTTTGTATCCTTGGGCTAAATGTAGTAAAACATACAACCGTGTCTTAAACGTTTTGATTTGCTTTCTCTCTTTTAACAATGTATTCATTGCATGCACTCAGGCATGTTTGGGTACTGTTTTCAGACATCCTTTGTCAAGGGTTAAAGTTGCAAGAGGTTCCCTCTTTAGTTTCATAGCTTATTTTTCCCTGGTGGTGAAGCTGTTCCAGCAGGAGGGTTTGTGTCCTTCCAAGTCTCCAGCAACAGTCTCCTGTCATCTTTGATGGAGCTTGAACTCTGCCTTGTGCTTGTGCCTCATTTTTTTAAATTCTCTCTCCAATAGCTGTGGACCAAACAAGGATCCTTTTGCCATAGCATCATGTTCCCTGTGCCCAAGCCCTGTAGTCCTGCAGAGCTGTAAAAGCCTTTCCCTTTTAACTGGGGTTCATTTCTACTGGCTGCTGTGATGACTTGAATCTTAGGAGTCTTGATCTTAGAAGCCTGATCTCCAAAGAGGGCTTGAGAAGTATCTTCTCTGCAAAGAGGTTTATTTTAGAAGGAGGAGATGTATAATCCTCTTACTAAAACACAGAGAGGAAAGGAGAAAAGCTTTATTGCTCCTGCCTTACCCCAGTGAGCTGGCAGCTTTTATGCTGCCTCATGAATAGAAAGAGGCAAAGGTGTGAGCACAAGCACTCTACCTGAGCTGAGGCTCTCTCCTGGATGCTCAGTGAAACCCATGTCTGCACTGCTTTTCAGTGTCACAGCAGAACAGTTTCTGAAAAGGAAAAACAAGTGCCTGTTACACCATGTGGCCACTTCAGTCTTGGTCTAAGGGGGAGTCACAAGTCACTGGCAGAAAATTAAGACCATCATACCCATCTCGATTTTTGTGCTCTGGAAGCTCAGGAGTCAAGTGGCCTCCTTGTGTAAAGGTTGTGACACTTCCCATGTCAGGCCTTCCTCGAGAGATTGGGCTTTACTGGCAGACACCAGGAGAAAAGACACACTGCTGGTTTTGCCAATTTGTCTCTGTTTCTTTGCCCAAGGAAGTATTGGTATCCCTGCTTGTAACATCTCTATCTGACTGGCCTGCCATCTTGCTGTATGGATAATATCATGTCGAATTTCTGACTTCCAAATGCAAATAAGAATCCACTGACCATAAAAAAATTGTTGGTTTTATGTCCTTGTGAGGATGGCATTCTGATAAAGAACATCCATCATACAGATTAGCAGTACTCAAGAACATTGTGAAGAGAGGTGAAAAGATGCAGCTGGAGGGAAAGGGTGCAATGGCTTCTTGTGGCCTTCACCGAGACCTTGTGGCATTCATGTAACCCTCACTGGCCAGGTGGTGCTTGGAGGACATCTCTTCAGCAGTTTGAGTTCTCAAG